TGAGAGGGCCCTGGACAGCATGGGAAGAGAAGCTGGAACTCAAGCCCTGCGTTGTTTTGAGCCTGTTTGCAGCTCATAGCTGTAGTCTGTGACAAAGATCATACCTTTAAAACATGTTGGGATTGCACATAGCATAATCACGTGCCCTATAACACCACTAATGCCTGAAAGCACCACAGCTTTCCAGTGCTGAGGCAGGTCTGGGATGTTCTCCATTGCACTTTGAGGGCATTGCAGGCTTCCTAAATTTCGAAATAAACCAAAGCCGTGTGTGATACAGCAAGCCACTATCAGCATAGCGCATCTGGGGGCATCACACTAGGCAAGCACACTGCGTGCTGGATAAGATAAAGAAGAAAACGTTGAGTCTCTGACTGTCAAACTCCTCCCAAGCGCTCTGGAGCTGCTTGGGTTTGGTTTCCGACTCTATTACACTTGTGAGACTCTCTTCTTCCCTCTAGCGTCCATTCCAATTCTTACTCTTTAGCTAAAGCAGCGCTTACCTCGTTGCATGTGCAGTCACTCCCTTCCTGAGGCACAGGTTTAATATTTATAAATGATACTGCAACTCTCCACCCAGGAATCCAACGTTTTATTTTTTCGGTTTACGCTGTGCCATGCAGGAGGATCCTGCAAGGCTGTCATCCCCTGGCACAGTTGAAAAATGATCTCAATTACTCCCTTAATTTTAGCATGATGGTGCTGAGCTACAGCTGGGGACGCACAGCCACAATGAGGTTTCTGATGGCAGTGAGGAGAGGACGTGACAGTGGTAAATGTACTGTTCGAGGGATGGGTCAGAGCAAGCCTCTGCTCTTGTTGCCTTTGTAAGACAGGCATCTCTCAGATCAGGATTTGTCCTTGGGCTGTAGGAAACCAATGCAGAGCTGAAAAACTACTCAACTGCCCCTAAGGCTGCATCAAGGCTGTCACTGAAAGGTTTTATTTCTGGTGACAGCAAGAGACCTCTCAGGCAGGATCTCCATTACCTGGGTCCCCTCCCAGAGAGCTGGACCGGTTTCTCTAAGTCCAGCCAGCCTCCTCCTCTTTGAGGACAGAGATGACAGACATCCCCTTCTTCTGGGGACTGGGCAGCAGACCTGCACTCCCAGATGCATCTGCAACAGGCCAGCTCTCTGCCTGCACTCACGGTCTGCAGAACACCTTGAATTCAGTCCAGGACAAGTCCTCCTTGCTGTCCTGCAGCCATCCTGATCTACCTGCCCCACTGCCTGCCCCTCCCTGGAAGGTCCAAAAGCTTCACAGGCCTGCTCAAAGAGCCATGTGCACCAACTTGAGGTGTGCTGCCCCAGCAGTCACAGGCTCCCATGCTGTCTCCACTCTCCATGGCCGATCCTTTATCTCAGCCAGGACATTTCCACTATCCCCCAGGGTAACTTTAGAGGAGCAGGACACAATAAAAACATGGCCAGGATACTCTGGCATACTGAGAAACTATTGCAGGGCAGGATTCATCTCACCTGGCTTGGATGGTACCATCTAAGCCATCACAAACCCTGTTTTATCAGTGGAGAGACTGGCACTGTTGGAGCACAAGCCATCTGACTAATCATACTCCAGGAGCGTCTGCGTTCTACCATGGGTGCAGACCTGCTCACGGCAGTGAGCCTAAACATGTCAGGCTCTGAACAAGCCAAGGAACCATGTAGAAAATAATCCTGAGCTGACCTGTCAGTTGCATGTATTTGAAGAGGAGGCATGTACAAGACTTTCCCTCCTGAACATCTCCTGGGCCAAAGGTCTCCTCCTTGACAGCCAAAGAGTATCTCCTCTTCATCCTTTAATGAAGATGAATTTGTTCCAAGTGCAAAGCAATCCCAAGCCTTCAATGAGAATAATGGCCTTGGTAACAAGCAGGACAGACAGCCATGAGCCCTGTGGCGGTGTGCTGTGCACACAGCTGCCATGGGGACCCTGTCCCCAAATGGAATGCTAAGGTCTCTGCTGTGGGTGGGGCTCTGCAGAGCTAGGAGGTGTAGAACACAGTCCAAGTCTGACCAGGAGCCACCTTTGCTTGTCAGGGCCCATTTGTCTGAGTGGGATACTGTCCCAGACATGCTTCACTTCAGGAAGAGGGACAATTTTTAAACAGTGAAATAACAGTCTGGCTGGCACACAGCTCCCTACTTATTTCTCCAATTTTTTTTTTGTTAAAGTTCCATCTGAGTGGAGCCTTTCAGCATGCAGGACAGCACCAGCCACTCCTGCAGAGCTGCTCACAGGACACCAGTGATGTTCAGAGGCCTCATGGATAGATCATGCTTCTGCTAATGCCACAGCATTGTCACTTTGGGCCAAATCCTTTTGCTTCTATCCCTGCTCCCTGCAGGGCAACTGTTCCCAGCTAACCATTGCCCCCCTTCCCTTAGCAGCACGCAGTGATGAGACTTGGCTCCCAGTAGAAAACTCTTCCCTGCAGTGCTGATTTATTAATAGGTGAGGGGAACAGCTCTCACCCCTCTCTCCAGCTTACACACTAGATATCAATTTGGCAGCCAGCAGCAAATGCCATTAAGGCAGTGAGACACTTAAAGGCATCAGCAGCTCCTGGCCCATTACAAGAACAAGGAGATGGACTCTGGTAATGCATATCTGAAACTCGTCACATCCAACTGGAAGCAAGGATCCTACTGAGACAAATATTAGGAGTCTGAAAAGGCAAGGGATGGGAATAAGCTTGTTCATTAAAGGACTTTCTCCATATTCAAGGGACCAATGCAGGGGAAAAGCAACAAAAAAACACAAAATGAAACTCTCCATATATTTTCGTTTTGGGCCAAGAGAACTGAATTCATGACTAGCCTATCATATCTGACATTTCCTAAATAGGTATTAAAGCCTATTAAAGCCCTGGCTGACTTTTGCATTTTCTAGATGAAAAGGGTAGAATATGGACAAGCAGAGGCTAAAACAGAGCAATAATTTTCTCTGTGGATCTGTTGTGGCTGTGCAGACAGCAATGGCCCTGTTTATTTTGCTTGTCCTGGAAAATGCAAGACAACAGCATGGTAACTCTGGGAAAACTGGAGGCACAGCCACTAATGGTGTGCCTCCAGACGGAAGACTACCAGTCCTTCTTCCCCATCAGGTCAGGTTGTGATCACAAACTTGCCCTCTTGAGCCTCCCTGCTGCTCCATGCATGACAGCCTGGTGTTGGGCCCCATTACCCATTCAGCTTCAGAGCATATACTCTTGCACATAACCACTCATCAGGTCAGACTGCCCAGAAGGGACACAATGAAGGTGGCACACAAAAATCTGATGCCTCCGACACAGCTGTCCACCACTGCTTGGCTCTGCTACCTGCTAAGCTTTCATGTGCTGGGAACTAACCAGTCTTACTCCACTCCCTGTGCCAAAACCATATTAACAAGATGTGTGCAAGTCAGAGGCAAGTCTGGTGCCAACATGCTTCACCATCCTCTCTGTATGCCCGAAACCAGGCTCTGCCCTGCTGGGTAACACAGCTGGAGATCCACCTTGGGAAGGCAATGCCCAAAAGCTAAGCACTGTTGCTTCACTGAGCCTAAGAGCATCCTTCTCTGGCCTGTTACCCTGTGCTCTGGGTACGTGGTCAGCAGTGCAGCTCGAGACCAACCACATCTCCCAGATAAGCATGGGGTGTTGTGTCCACAAGGTCCATCTGAGCTTTTGCTTTCCTGCACTTAAACCAGAGGTTCAAATGAGGAGAGTGGCACTAAGATGCTGCCCTGCAAGAGCCCCAGGGCCCCCAGCTCCTGGCATCACTGATTTCTGCTGCAGCACAGTGCCACTAAAGCCACAGCGCTCATCTCAACTACTTCACTCCTCAGGCCTTTAAGTCTGTACACTAAATCCCCACAGTGGCACCACCAGGACACAAGAGCACATGGCATTAAGCCTGTCTTACATATCCATCCCTAGCAATATGCACCTGAGGAGGTGATGCAGTGATTATCAAGTGGAGTAGACATCTCCTGTCTCTGTGAACACAAGCCACACCATGATGCAGCATGTGATTGCCTCGGTTAGGCCACCAGTGGGGCAGAGCTGGTTAGTAAGGGGTGGGGTGGCTCTTTTGAAAGTCACACACTGCCGGCACCCCTGAGAGTTACCACTGGGGTACCTGAAGGGAAGGTAAAACAGGCAACCCTGAGTTAAGTGGTCTGGATAAAGCCCTCAGTGACTTGTATTTCCCATACCTGAGGGTTCAGCTGTTTTTTCTGACCATTTCTCCATGTCCTCTCTGCCACCTCAGAGAAGCTTCTTGCTCCATGCACACAAAGAGCCAAGCTGAGTTTGTGGTGAGAGAAGTTCATAGGTGCTTTTGAGAGACTCCAGATCTGTACCCAGAGTTTTGCATTTGCAGATGCACATGTTCAGACCTATCCATATGCCACAGTTTACATGCACAAACCCCAGTGACCCTTTCTTTTCCCCTTCACCCCTTTGAAATCAAAGATGCCAGTTGAGAAGGAGGCTCTGAATACTTGGAGAAGACAGTCCTACCCATTGCCCACTAATACAGCCCTTGATATAGAGAAGGGCCTGACTGTCACCAGTGCTGACTGACAGCGAGGCCCGCAGACTTCAAGAAGGCAGGGAGGGCACAGACAACTTCTGAAAACTGTGCTGTCACCGTCTTCTTTTGTTTACAAGGTCAGATTTTTCTTTTTGTGATGGTATGGTCAGTGACACTGGCAAAAAGTCAAATTTAGGAGGCCTATATAAGGACACAGGCACTGTTGCTGGGTGACATTTGACAGGAAATCCTGCTTGCATCCACAATATTGCACAGAATCACATCACATAATTTTTAATGATTTTTGATGGATGATTTCCACTAGGCTCATCAAAACTGGGCAAGCTAGCTTCAAACTCCAGACATTCTGTAGGAGAAAGTGGTACAAGGAGCACCATGACAAAAGAAAGTTTTAGGGCTTTGTCTATTACTCTGCTTCTCTATGTTAAGATGGCCAGCAGAAAGGAGACAAACCAATTCATCAACTCATTATGTAATTACTGTTTTATAAACTGATTTAAAAATATAATCTAACCATAGTAATTTAAACTGGAAAAAAATGTAATGATGCTTGGTTTCAGACTGCAACATCAATAAAGTTGTAAGGCACAGTCATTTGGAACAGCAACTCAGTCTGCTGTCCCACTAAAACAAATGTTTTAAATCTCACCCAAATATAAAGCAAATGCCCTATTGAAAAAACAAGAGATTATTCCCTTACTTCCCTGCCTTGTCTTTGCTGCATCATCACTTAAAATCATTCAGTTATGCTAAATTGGAAAGTCTATTTGGTCTAAAAAAGCTAGAGGTAGGATGGAGGTGAAAGGCACGTGCAGGGCATGCTCCGACACCTAGTGTCAGAGATCAACTGTGCTAAAGAAATTTTGGAATGCAATGTCTAAAGTAAGAGAAGTCCTTCCAGGTGGCTATGGAGCAAACAAACATGTTAATATTGGGATAAGCCACTTGTTCAGCATTTGCTCCCATAGCAATGCATCTAATAAGGACCTATGATGCCTCTGAATGGGGTGAGATCCTGTGGGGGCATAAGCTCTGAAACCATCCAGCCCTCCTGGGCTCTTCTTCAGGCAGTGTACCCCTCCCTTAGAACCTGCTCCAGCCAACACTTCTTCTCAAGACCTCGGTTTTGGCCCTCACATGTTAAACATCCATGACTGCAAAAGGCAGGTGGCATGGCTGCTGCCTCATCACCACCTCCAGCCCACTCCCAAACAGCAGGCTCCACGCTCTGCTTTGTTCAGTGTCCCTGCTTGACTCCCAGAGCAGGGCATGGTGTGGTGGAGAAGAAATACGATAGAATTTGTTCTGTTTTAGTGCACAAAAGTTGCAAAAATAACCATGTTTTTCTGTAATAAGAGGTTCATTAGCTCCTTGGTTGATCAGCGGTTGCTCTTTAAAGTATTTCTGGACCATCTGTATCCTGAATTGAGGCAAATCATGTCATTTGTTTGAATTGCTCTACTTGCACAGCTCTGTGTTTAGCTTGCAGAAGAAGCTGAAAGATAGCATTGATCCTTCATGACTGGTCTGTGTATATGGCTCCAACACATGCTGAAAACTGAGTATTTTCTAGGACTGAGGACTTCTGTTCTGAGATGTTGTTGTGGCAGTGGTACTGTGTGGCAGTGGCTCCAGCACAGCCCTGGCAGTCAGGGGCCAAGAAGCATGTGTTGGCCTAAACCTCTCTGAGGCTTTCGTGGATGAGCAGACAGCTGGATACTGGTGGTTGATCTCTCCAGAAGGCCTCTCATCCATGATGGGCCTGAGGAAAAGAAAGAAATGCTGTGGCAAGATTGCACTCTGGATCTGGATATCTGCATGCTCCTCACCAGCTCTGAAAACTGATCCAAAAGCTGCCAGGCCTGGGATAAGCACAAGGAACACCAGCTTCCCACATAAGGCATGTGTTCTCTGCCTGTACTGACTCCATAATGACTATGTTAACTGAAAATCAAGCTGTCATGTCACAAGTTCTCAGCTGTATTTCTTCAAAAAGCAACACGATGTTAATCTTACAGTAAGTGGGTTCAGAAATAACAATGTTTTGGTGCATGTGACACTTCTCTAATGTCTATTTTATTTTCCAGAGCTCATTCTAACGTGAATTCATGTCAGGGAAAAAAACCTAAGTGGGATGTCAGGAACTTGTCCTGGAGTTTACTCGAGGAGAGTCTTGAACAAACGACACAACAAGAGCTGTGCAACAGACAGAGCATTGGCTCTGGGTGAGGAACATGAGAATGGATCAATAAGAACACAGCAAAATTCTGGGCTATTATTCAAGAAAATACAAAATTTCTAACACATGAGAAAATGTTTCATTTAGCATTAGATGTCAGCACAAATAAAAGGAATTCTCTTTACAGAACAGGGAGTAGACCCCATAGATAACACAGAAGTCTGCTTTTTCCTGCCATGAAGTCCCTTCTGTTTTCCCCAGACACATTGCAGGCATTGCTGTCAGCAGTGCACATACCTGATCCTTGTTGATCCAACAGCTGTTGGTCCTGGAATAGGCCTTTGCTGGCTGGTGCAGCCAGCAGGCTGGTGCTGCCCTTGGGATCCAGAGGCAGACAGCATCTTGTGCAGGCTCAGGAAAGCAAGTTCTTCATCCAAAGGCTGGGTTGAATTTTCTTTATGAGCCCTTGACTGGCATCGCTGTGTACACTGCCTGTCCTCCTCTTGGCTGGGTATTTTTAGGCATCTTACCCTGTGGTTTCTTGTTTTCCAGGATCTTGCTGCAACACTCATTAAAGATGCAGGCAAAGGGCTTTTTGGAGGGGATGGAATTAAACAAGGGCTTGGGTTGGAGAACACTGCACCCTTCTGAGTCTGTGATGAACCTGAAACAGAGTGAAAAGCACAGTGACTTACCAGTTCATCTTACTCCTACACGACTAATCCAGTGAGTCGTTTTGGAGATGCTGTGTGATGGAGGTGGGTGGGCAGATGTGTCCTGGGGCACACAGTGATGCTGGCCTTGTTGAACTGATTCCTCTGATAGTCGGGGCTTGGGTTCCTTGGCAGCCTCCCTGCCAGTTCTGCTGGTGATGTGCCAAGCACCACAATCGCTCACAAGCCATGCAGAGCTCAAGAAAGACAGACCAGCTCACCTGCCCTGCTGTTCTCAGGCAGGATCACACCTGCATCATTCCTGGCCAGTGTTTGCACCGACTTGTTTCAAATACCTGAGGACTCCTTCCAGCGATCTGAAGTGCAGGGCACAGGAATAATCACACATGAGTGGATCTACTTTTTTCTATTTGGCACAGAGATCATAGAATCTCATAATTTTGAGATTAGCTTTAAAATTACAGAAAGTGCCTGACTGCCAGCGAACATACTGCACTACATGCAGGGCTACTACTTGGCTGTTCGTATTTCAGCCCATGTAATCTTCAGGTGCAGCATACAGAGAAGAAAAAACTTGTTGCTAACTTATATAACGAGCATGCATATATGCTTAAAACCATTCTATACATAGCAGGGATCTGATTGCTCTTGTCTATTGAAAGAACCAACCATTCTATATATAGCAGGGATCCAATTGCTCTTGTCTATTAAAAGAACCAACTGTACCTAAGTGCCTAATGTGCAGGGTCCAGGGCAGGAACATAATCTAAAGAATGTGTCATAAAAAACCCAGGCCCAGAAAGTTCAGCTTGGTAGCTCCTAGTTGATGGGGATGTATTTTACTAGCTAGGTAACCACATAAAGCTGGTATAAAATTTTCACTGAACAGTTTGAATCATATTACGCTTTTAAAATGTCTAAACTTCATAGGGTTTTTAAATTTGTTTTTAAGTATAGACACACTGAGAGACTGGTATGCCTGACTCAAGAGCCTGAAATAACATTCAGTGCCTTCCAAAGAGTGCAGTTTATATGGATCTGATGCTGCAAACACACTGCGTAAGAGTGGCTTTACTCAGATGACTTGTCCTTTTCTGGTCAGAAGGATTACTTCCAGCAACAAGTTCTTCTGTGACAAACTCACATTGGGTAGGACACACTTCTGCTTTTGATTTGGGATCTGGGTCATTCACCCCTGCCACCTTAGATAATAACAGATTTCAAACCACTCCATCATCTCCCAGCAGATTTGGTTACAAAATGGTCAGACCTATGCCCAACCATTCACTTTCTTAGTACTATATGGCATGACACTGGTACATTGTGAGATGTTTGTGACATTGCCTTCTCAATCTACAAAGATGATGAGACCATAATATTCAATCTAAAGAAATAACATAAAATGTAAAAAGATAACATTAAATCTAAAGAGACTATGAGATCATAATCTTAAGTCTTCTGTGGTCACTGGACAATAGGCCACTCCTTTAGATTTTTCCAAACAGCTTCTGTTGTTGTTAAGGAGATATTGTTTACATCACTGTTAATACACACAGAGGCTTTGAATAGTTTAATGATATTTCTGGTTATTTTTCCCAAATATATTGTATTTTTCCAAATTTTAATAAATCCATTTTTGCCCTTGAAAGAAATGTAAAATGAAAACTCATGTGCTTTTATTTATTGAGAAAAAAGAGTTGTTATTATTAACAATAGAAAAAGATTTAAGTTGTAATTTTGTGAGGTCCTCTATCTGTTATGTATTTGGAATAACAGTTATTAACGTTTCTGATATTCTTAAAGACAATATTCAACAAATGTTCATTCATATAAAGGCAATTTCAGAGAAGCCTTTGGCTTTGTTCCTGAGTAGAAGAGTATGTTTTGTTTTTAAACTCTTGAGACCAAGGGAAGATCTCATTACAGGTCTACAACTTCCTTGAGAGGGGAAGAGGAAGGGCAGGCACTGATCTCTTCTCTGTGGTGACCAGTGACAGGACCCGAGGGAATGGCCTGAAGTTGTGTCAGGAGAGGTTTAGGTTGGATATTAGAAAAAGGTTCTTCGTCCAAAGGGTGGTTGGGCACTGGAACAGGCTCCTCAGGGAAGTGGTCACAGCACCAAGCCTGACAGAGTTCAAGAAGTGTTTGGACAATACTCTCAGGCACCTGGTGTGACTCTTGGGAATGGCCCTGTGCAGGGCCAGGAGTTGGATTCAATGATCCTTTTGGTCCCTTCCAACTCAGCATATTCTGTGATTCTGTGATACCTTTAGTTGCATATCTTTCCAGAATTCCCAGTTGCCCAGTTAAACCTTAATCATTAGCTCAGTCATTATTTACATCAATGCCAACTGAGTTCAAATATAGCTCAGTTGGAATGACAGTATTTCAGGCTCACCCAGCACTATCATAAATTAATGACACAAAGTAAAAGACAGAGGCATGCATGTCCTTCCTCCATACTTGATGCTAAGTTAGTGTAAGATCACCTTTGATCCTCTTAATTCTGCAGATCCGTGCTGAAATATATCAGCTGATGGTCAACACAGCTGACCACCATGTCCTGCTTAAAAACTGGAATGGATTATTTAGGCTCTGGCTCTGCAATGGTATTTCCAAATTACTCCTCTAGAGCACAGAAGCCACATCTCATAAAACACTGCAGTTACCAATACACATATCTACAAACAGTAGCCTGTGTTACTAGCCTGATGCTAACCCTTCCCCAGAGGTTTTGGTCCAGTACCTGAGGAAGACTTGGAGAGACTGGAGTGGCAAGAAGAATCAAGTGAAATCCTTTCAACAAGGTCCTCATCATAGGCCTTCCTCAACTCATCTTCAGAGCTGTCAGTCAGGCTGCAGTTTTCACCCTCTTCCTCATGATTAAGAATTACCTTTGATGCTTGGCTGGCTTGTTCTTGCTGACCTGTTTGCAGGCACCTGGACAACATCAAGTATCCCATCTTTAGTTAGCCCTTTGAGTGGGTTTATGCAGCCAGTCAAGTGCAGTTGGTATGGCCACTCAGGCAAACACCTAGGCAGTAGATTTAGTTATCCACTCTTATTTCACACTTTTTGGGTGATATGAAAAATAATTCTAATTGGGTCAGCCATCTAAGATGCCTGTGTCTGATTATCTGAAAGTGTCCTAAAGTTAATCAGGAGAAGTGGGGCAGATTTAAAATACTTCCTAGTAAAGTAAGCTCAGAGAAATAAACCCATTTTTACTTCCAAAATAACCATTACCTGCCTGTGAGATGGGGGAATCTCAGCATGATGTTATTTGTCTTTCAGCCTTTCATTTGCTTAGGCCAATGTGCTGCTTGAAGAAAACCTCGACAACTTTCAGCTCTTCTACTGTCTGAAGGTAGACACCGTCAGGGCCAAGAATGGCTTACCAGTTATAAAAAGTCATTTCCCTGCTCTGTCTAAGGAAGTGAGCCCACCCTGCCTATGCTAGACTTCAGTTTGCTCTAGAGAGAGGTCAGAGCGTTTTTCTTCCTCGACCAGATGCTCGAGGCAGGAGGACAGATGGAAGGATTGCCAGCCTGTTCCAAAGCAGGGACAGGAAGGCAGGAGGCCAAGACTATCCCTCGAAACCGCCACCAGGTGGCCAAAGCGCTTATTTTATTTTTGCAGAAAATGAATGCCGACTTCATTGCACGACAGGAACTCTCCCGCGGTCTCACCTCTTCTGCTGCTCTCTCCATACTCTCAGTTCAGAGGACACATTTTCCTGGTGCACATCTTTTCCTCCTCCAGAGCCATAAACGTTTTCTGTCCTCAGACTGCTCAGTTTCAAAGGGCTCACTGCAGGTGGCTGCGAAAATGACAGAAGTTATCTTGATAACTTTGGGAACTCTCCCCAGCTCTGTTTCTAGATGTGGATTTTAGAAGGCATTAAAGTTCAGTTACCTCTGAGTTTTTAGATAATCCCTCACCATTTTCTTACCCTTCAGTTTTAACAAGTCCCACACCACAGTCACGTGCTGTTACAGCCTGAGGAACCCAGGGCAGCAGTGACAAAACTGTTGATTTACATTTCACTGGCATATAAGCCTGTAGCATCTATACCAATAAACATATTAAGACTGGTACCGCAGAAACTGCATCATTCAGTATATGACCACAGTCCCATTCCACATCCCAGTTTATAACACAGTAATTCACTCAAATGTTCAAATTTTTTTCAGAAAAGCTTCCAGCGCTCAGGCAGTGGCAGGAGAAAGACAAGAGTGGGATATATTTTTTCACGCAGTTCTTTAACATCTGTTGTCAGGCTGCTGACAGTGCAGTGTGCAGGTGTCCTGTGCACGCTGTCTCCCTGATTTAGCACAGCCTGTTTAAACCTGCACTCGTGTCTGTGCTGTGTTGAACCTCAGGGCCCACAAAGTGTGATGAGACGGGTTGCACCCCGTTACATACATGGGTGTCCTCTCACTAAGTTACTGCTGAAATGAGCAGGCTGACCCGCAGGGCTGGGCTATCACCCCACTGCCAAGAGGCACAAACTTTGGCTTTGTGTTTGTTTAGTCGATGGGAACGACCTCGCAGAATTAGCAATCTGACTATTTATGCCAACATCAAAGAACCAATGAAGTCTTTTGCTTAATAACTGTTGTAGAAATACCATCAAATTTTGTAATCCTGTCTTGCACTTTGCTCACTGCGGGATGATAAAGAAATCTGCCACCAGCAGCTGGTATGTGATTTTCACGTGTTCCTTTACAGGTGATGGTTAACTGCTGCTAGCACGTGGGCACGTCCAACATCATGGCAAGAGACCCTCTGTCCTCCTCAAGGGCAATAGTATGTTGTGGGGCTTTTGGGCAACAGAAGAGAGTGAGCTGACACAAGCCACATTGGGAGTTCAGTTTATCCCAGGATTTGTGGGGGTCACCAGGCAGGAATATGAAGTCTACAAGAGAAACATACACCTAGTTTTTGCCTCCTTTCACGAAGGGCCTTGGTGGGGTTCCCACATATAACTTGACTGAGTCCTAGGAAAGAGAGGAAAAAAGAAAACATTTTACTCCAGTGATTAACAAATGATGCAGTCTTTGAAATCAGTCAACCTTTTCCAAATGTGCCCTCAGCTGATTGACTCTGCATTGCTTCATCTCATTCATCATCCTGAGTCCCACCTATAGCAAGAACTGAGGAGGGACTGGCATTTGAGAGAAGCAGACCACAATGCCTGGAAACAAATAACATCTTCCTATCTAATCTGCACTCTGTGGGGTGGTGGAGTTGCACCATCAAGTTGCTTCCAGAAGCCAGGGAAGGATGTCTTGGGAAGTGCCAAATATTGTACCATAAAAGAACTTCCTCTCTTTCCAGCTGTCCTCAGGAGCTACTGACTTTGTAGTACTTCCAGGTGACCAGGGCAAGACGAGCAGTGGAACACCTGTGTTTTGGGCTAGTCTGTAGATCAGGTATGTGAAGCTAAGGAACTGACTCCTTTTGCTAAGGGATCAACCACAGTAAACACAAAAGAAAGTGCTCATTGACCGCAGCGATGCTGCTGCAGTATGAGACTGCAGAACAAATAGCCTGAGCACATGATCCAACGGGGAGTGAAGGAGCATCACCGCACCTTTATACAGGACTACCTTGGACCACATTCCTGTGACTGAACAGGATGTGACCAGGTGTTAGTCTGTAGCAGTTCTTAGTCCAGTGAGCCCCAGCTAGGCTGACATATTAAAGGGCTGAGCAGGACAGCTTCGATGAGGTATGAAAGGCAAATGTCAGCAAGGGAGCACCACTGCAGTATGGGGCTGTCAGGAGGGACAGCAGCATATCATGCATGGGGGTGAGGGGTGAAGAGTGGGCAAATTTCACCTTCTGCTGCAGGAGGAAATAAAGGAAAGCTTACAATAGAGCAGGTGAGTCTTTCTTGGAAGAAAACATATGCTGAACCTGATCTAGCAGTGACATGGGTGGATGGTATTCAAAGCACCCAGGCTTTCATCAGTACTAATAACATTCAGAAGGAGGTGGAGGTGTGGGAAAGAACAGGATTAAAAACACATTACCATGTGTCAAATCACTGGAGTCATCTTCTGAGAACAGCATATCAGAAACAGCAGGATCTGGAAGAGGACGGCTACCATATAAGAGGTGGGCATCGCTAGATCTCCCTACATTAGCAGACCACTGCGCATTTCCAGGTCTGGAAGCTGTTGGGGGTCTTGGGCCACATCCAGACTGCCTTGCTACTGCCCCAAGATACGGATCTAAAAGAAAGATTTCACATTTGAAGCTATAGGGCACAGAAAAATATGTAATTGCAGCTACAGGAAACATGCTGGAATGGGTCAAGCCTAGAGAAAGAGGGTTTTCTGTGCTGCACACAAGCCATTCTGTTATTTGAAGATGGCACAATGTGGGATGCCCAACCAAAGTAATATCCCTTTCCCACTCTTCTTCTGCTCTGGGCAACCAGGGACAGACTACTGGGGTCAGGAACTGCTCTGTGCTCACCATCCACCTCTGGTTGTCCCACAGGTGAATTTGGATGCATCCAGGGCTCTGCTACTTCCCCTGCCCACATGCTGAGGATAAGTGTAAGGTGCCTCTCATTTCAGTGCCTAGAGAATAATGCCTTTGTAAAGGGTTGAGCATCTACCAGCTCCACAGTGAGCCATCAGCTCCGTAATAATAGGGCCATTTCCTTAAGAGCTGAGTGTCTTTAATGTATCTCAGCCATAGCTGTTAACACAAACTCATGAAATACACAGCACGTGAAAAGTATCCAAGTCAATATTGGTATAGGAAAGAAAAAATATGGCAATGTCTGAACCTGACGAAATGAGCTCATCATTTAGAACTGACAGCAAGAAGATAAGTCTGGTTACATGAGGAAATGACATGAAATCACATTTTTGTGCTCTGTCCCTACTGTTTCTGTCAGCAAACTTTGTTAACTAGTTTTCTGAACCACAGGTGATGTTATCAAAGTAGGATGAGGGATCAGATTTTAATGGATTTTTTCTCTACCATAACTACTATTACAACTAATGATTTGGACCCATAGGGATTAAATAAATGACAAATGTATGTACTTATTCCAAAACAGATTAAATTTTTAATGGAGTACAATTGGCAGGCAAACCACAATTGAGGGGTGGGGGGCTAGGAAGCCAACTGCATTGCCCACACTAATGGGAAGCAACAGGAGCAGTTATAGGAAATACTTTGCAATATTTAATGGTATGTGGTAAAGTGCATGTAGCATGACACTTAAAGCATGGACATCTGAACTACTACCAAGGCTGTAGGTAAGGGGACAACGGATTTACTTCCAAACCATTTACTCTCTACTAATGAATGTAATGGACTCAATCACAGTGGAAGAGAAAATAGAACAGATCTCTTATGAGACCATGCAATCCTGATGGGATGTTGCTACCACTGAGGGGTGATGACCGAATTCCCTTTCCTATTATTAAATTGGAATAGGAAATACTACTACATACATGCTACATGGGAATAACTGTTCCCATGGAAAGGGATGTGAACAGCTGTTATCGAAACATTCCTTTACAAGCTTTGCTTCTTCCTATCATGCAGAATGAGCCCTAAGTACAGGCTCCCAGCTACTGCTGGATTTGCTTGACGCTCTATAAGTTTTCTGCATTTTCCTGATCTTAGGACAACTTTCATTTACATCTGCACTGTTATCTGCTGAATTAAAACTTTCTTACTTCCCAGGTGAAGAAGACAACATCCTTTGTCCCTTCACTATAATTAAATGTTGGCTTTGAAGAGGCCAGCTTGCTCTTCATCTTTCTTTCCTCATATCACATAACCTGAAAAATGAACCCCAGTAGGAAACCTGTCATACCTAACCACGAAATGTCTCCAGCTAAACCACCTTCCTTGATGGAGTCCTTGATGATTAGACGATCTTCATACATCTTCTTGGAAGGAAGGGGAACAGTCTGGCTTGCTGGTATTTTGTCCAAATACTTCAAGTGGGGAATAAGTTTTTTTACTTCTGCTCTGTAATTATAACCTGGTTCCTGAAGAAATTGAGAAAGTGGTCAGTTTAACAGCCTGTGGACTTCCACCAGGAGCACAGCACTCTTCAGTTTGTATGACTGCCATATAACTTGAAAGGTTTTCTATGAAGCAAACCTACTCATCTCATTTGACAGATACAAATACAGTCAGGAGTTTAATTTCACTGTGCTTTCTCCTCACATAATTTCTACTTGAGTTGATCATGAACATGTCCTGAGCAGTGCAAAGACCTGGCCTTCACCAAAGGCTCATTTGCTGTTTACCTACTGGTGACTTTGGCATTTGTCTTTGTTATATTATGTATAATTTGCAAAAGTATAGAAGGCCAGTGATGCCCATGGAAAGTCTGGGCACCCTCGGCATTCAGCCAGTCTGTCTCCCTGCTTTTGTGATTCTCTGGTTGTTGCATCAATACTCAGGTGATAGGAAGACTTGAAAACATATTATGAGTGTTGCCACACCAGCTGATGGGAAAAGAAAGAGCATTTTCATGGATCGTGTTTTTAGGCACAACCATAAATCATCTACAGTCAATGAACTGCACTGATTTTTTGGGGCAGTCTTCAGGGGTTTGGAGTCTGATTTTACACACTGCTAGAAGCGAAGGCTTACTTCAAACTATCTTTTTTTCTGCAAGAGGTAGCATGCCAACAGCAGGTGCACAGAAGACTAAAATGGGCTGCAGTTGGGTTTCTTTTCTGTGTGCTGGAAAAACAATATGATTGTTCCTGATGCACAAGGCCTCAGTGTGACAGCCATGGGGAAAGCACTGGTGTAGCCCCCCTCTGCGTGCATAGGTGGAGCTGACAGGTTATAAAATGATTCATGAGCTCAGAGCTGGGGGACCTCTAAGCAGCAAGGCCAATCCAGAACAATTACATCTGCGCTCAGAGCACAGTGCAAATTGGCTGTTTTGGTGGATTCCAGCAGTAGAAAGAAATCTTCTTGTCGTACCTTCACCTTCGGGAAAACTTAAAAATACCTCAGGGCTAACTGGGCTGTACTGGTCTGCAGTGGGAATATGTTTGGTTAAAGCAGTCTTGGATTACAAAAGGCAGCCAATGGTCTTGCAATCTCTTCTACTAAAAAAACTATAAAGGCAGAGTGGACTACTAGTAGCAGAATAAAAATTGACAGCTACCTACAGATCAACTGCTTAACCCAGGTAAATGTTACACTTTCGGGACATTGCATGTCATATTAGAAAACCCCACAAAGTCCTCATTCAATACAGAGTTGCCACAAACAAGTGTTTCTGTGGGACCTGACAGGCTAGATGCTCTCTCCCTTTGTACGGTGCAGCACTGACGCTGGCAGAGGGAACTCACCAAACAAAACGTGTTTGTTGTTGTTAAGAGGCAGACACTAATTTTCTCTAACTAAGCCTTTAATCCTAATTTAGAAAATGATTCAACCATTCACGGCTAAAGCCACTTTCCAGCCATGTCCTGTTGGAGAGAAGAATCATGTTACGTTCATGTTACATTACTGTAACAGAGGCTGCAGAATTTATCATCAGGGTTGCTCTTGGTTTAGATAACAGGGGAAGATGAGCTCATCTGAAAATCAAATCACAGGGAGCAAACAGGCCATCTGAAGAAAGAACAGTAAATTTAGTTGGACCATTCTGTAGATTACAAGTAAATAAGTAGGAGAGCTTATACAGAGCTGTAGCAAGGGCCAGACTTGTAGCAGAAGACTTGTAGAAGGAGCTTGAGAAATTAGAGCTAGCCATTTAGGGCACACCAAAGTAAGCTCACATCTATTCTATATTTCGAGTGGCTGAAGAAATGCAAACATCAGTTGAAACCACAAAAGCAACAAAGTCCATGGAGAAACTCTCGGCAGCCAAGGGCTGGATCTACTTTGTAACCACCTGAGGGTAAAGCAGGTTCCCAATACAGACACTGGGTGGGAGACTAGAGTGAACTCACAGTCTGTCTCTGCTACAACTCAGTGTAAAACACACAGACTCCCTCAACAAATTCTGCCTGGCATTTGAACGCAACCGTTTGCACAGAAGTAGAGACAGCCATTCTGTGTGAAGAAGAGCAGTAGAGCACACCACAACATACCACTCCTCTTTGCACTCCTGTTATGTGACAACATGCAGCAGCATCCCAAGGACTGATTTCCTCCTCTGAACAAGCCACAGGAAATCTGACATTTCTCCATTACAAGTATATTTAAGGACTGAAGATACCAAATGAAAACTACATCCTCCAAAATCATCATTTGCATTGAGCAGGAATGACAACGGAGTAGAATCAGACTTTCTGCACCATTAGGACACACTGCACTATTTCCATGGTAGGAAGCTATAATAAGGAAGTGTCAGAAGTATTTAACTTCACGGGAGTAAAAAGAATAAATAGACATGCTTTGTCCATCACTAGCAGGCAGTGCTTTCTTACTGTGGGAACATGTTTTTTTCCTCTCATGATTGCATCTTCCATAACGAAGGAATGTTGATGGAGAAATTATTCTGATTACAAGTAGTTACAAGTGTGGTCTCTTAAGTATACTTTCACCATTTCAAAAGAGAAAGGCAAGTATATAACATTTTCTCTTGAATTCCAGAGAGGAAAATTATGACAGCTAAAGAGCTGCCTTCCATGGCCCCTTTTACTGAGTGGTATGATCAAGCCAACAATTACATCTGAAAAATGCTATTAACTCATGCATCTAAAAAGTGCCAAGATTTAAAAAATACACATCTACTACATGATTGAGTTTTACTGTTAGCACCTGTTTTCAAGTCTAAGTACAGGACAAATATCAAACCTTACCTTTTAGGCAAATAAACAGCATGAGCATGATTACTTTGAAATGCATAGTGAAGCTATGGAAAATGGCACAGTGGGATCACAGTGTCAACTCCTGCTCTGATTTTTGAACCCCGCATTACCAGCTCTTTATGGTGCCATAGGGAATTGCACCATCCTCAGTGAGTGCTGTGTATTCCATGGCTCTGTCTGTGTGTGCATAGGCCTCTGACCTTCCAAAAGACCTGGATGCCAGTATGTTGGTGCACTGGCCATAAACAGTCAATGACATGCATTAGAAATTATGTGACCAAAATGAGGAACGGTCTTTTGTGGCCAAGTGTTTTAAACTCTTATTTTCCTCCAGTTCCCTGCTCAGTACATGCCAAGATGCTTTTTTTTAATAACCCAGCAATACTTTTTTATGAAGCAGGAGAAAGTGAAAGAGAATAATACAGCTCTGAGACTGTTCATGTAGAATTAGATCTCCCTTGCTGTGCTTTGCTTGTTGACTACCCTGAAACCCAAATCAGATAATGTATTACTGTGTTCTCATCTTTGTGACACAGAGGATCTCATGCCCTCAACAAAATACCTCAGCAGAAATTATTTTATCATTTCAGTACGTAAGAGGTGAACCGCTGTATTTTGTATCCTCAGCTTTTTATGAAGGTCTTTTTAATCATTTGATTTTAACATTTCAAGGGAAAGGGCAACAAGCAGTTCCTACAACATAGTTACCTCAGGCATCATTTTCTGAGGGTTCAACTTTTGAGCATGGTGGTGTTGAAGCACTTGCTTTTGGACTGAAGAATCTCCAAAGGAAATGCAAAAGCCTCAAAAAATGGATATCTAATTACAGAATCATAGAATCACAGAATGGGGGTTGGAAGAGACTTTTGGAGATCTTCTAGTTCAACCCCTCTGTTACAGCAAGTTCACCTAGAGCAGGTTTTACAGGATCATGCCCAGGTGGGTTTTGAGTATTTCCAGGGAAGGAGACTCTACAGCCCCTCTGGGCAGCCTGTTCCAGCGCTCTGTCACATTCCAAGTAAATAAGTTTTTCCTCATATTCAGATGGAACTCCCTGTGTTTCAGTTTGTGTCTGTTGCCCCTTGTCCTGTTGCTGGGCACAAGTGAAAAGAGTCTGGTCCCTTCCTCTTAACACTTGCCCTTAAGATATTTGTATGCATTGACAAGATCCCCTCTCAGTCTCCTCCAGGCTAAACAGGCCCAGCTCTCTCAGTCTTTCCTCATAAGCAAAGGGCTCCAGTCCCCTAATCATCTCCCTGGCCCTCCGCTGGACCCTCTCCAGCAGTGTCTTGTCTCTTTTGGAGCTGGGAAGCCCAGAACTGTACATAGCATCCCAGGTGAGGCCTCACCAGGGCAGCGTAGAGGGGTAGGATCACCCCCCTTGACCTGCTGGCAATGCTCTTCCTTATGCACCTAATGATACCATTGACCTTCTTGGCCACAAGGACACAGTGCTGGCTCATGGACAGCTTGTTGTTCACCAGGACCTCCAGGTCTCCTTAATCTTCTTTTTGCTACCGATGTAATTGAACAAGCCCTTCTTGTTGTCCTTGATAACCTTTGCCAGATTAAATTTCAAGTGGGACTTAGCCTTCTTCATCACATTCCTGTATACTATATTCCTATATAGTTGAAATACTATCTTTCTGTATTCCTTACAAGTGGCCTGTATTTTCCACATTCCATAAACTTCCTTCTTCCTTTTGAGTTTTGCCAGATGCTCCATACTCATCCATTCAGGTCTCCTGCCCCTTTGCTTGATTTCTTACTCATAGGGATCCACCAATCTTGAGCTTAGAGGAAGTGAAGCTTGATTATTAACCAGCTCTCTTGAACCCCTCTATCTTCTAGATCCTTAACCCATGAGATTCTTCCTAATAAGTCCTTGAGGGGGCCAAAGTTAGCTCTCCTGAAGTCAAGGGCTGTAATCCTATTCATTGCCCAGCTTCCTCCACTCAGGATCCTGTACTCCATCATCTCATGGTCACTGCAGCCAAGGCTGTCCCCAACCTTTGTACCCCCAAACCACTCTTTCCTTGTTTATCAGTACAAGGTTGAGCTGCACACCCCTCCTCGCTGGCTCTTCCACTACCTGTGTCAAAAGGTTGTCATTAGTGCTCTGCAGGAACCTCCTGGACCGTGTGTGCTCAACTGTGTTGTCTTTCCAGCAGAGATCAGGGTGAATTGAAACCTTGTGATTGGGCACATCTTGTCAGAAAAATATTGACTACTTTCTAACCTGCTGCAAGATCCCTACAGTTCAGAAGGATCCGCACAGCTGGGGTCCAAGCTCATCCTTTAAGATGCCTATTTGCACTGCAAGCAGTGAGAAGACAGATGTGAACAGCTTATTCCTAGTTTAGTCCTGTTCTCACAGGTAAGAAGGAACACATTGCTAGGAAACAGGCCTGAGTCTTTACTAGCACTCTTGTATTTAATTTGTGGTCATCTTGGACATCACGCCCATGAGACCACAAAATCAGAAACGAAAGGTGAGAAATACATCCCATGCCATTACTTAGAATGATACAATAAAAAGATGCAGAAATGTTTTTCATTTCCAACTCAAAGTTAAAAAGCACTGACAAAAAATTAACACACTATGTGCAAACCAAGTCCTCACCTCTGCAGATTCTGCATTTGGCTTCAGGCAAATAAGGTTGCCCTCCACTGTCAGGTGGCTTAGCTTGCAACAAAGTCTCAAGTACTGCATCTGGTCGATGTCCTCAATATTGTTCCCTTCCAGGTCCAAAACCTCGAGGTGATCTAGCCAGGTCAGCTGGCTCAGCTCAGAGATATTGTTATAGGCTATGTAGAGTTCCTCAGCAGAAGTAAAGAGAATAAATATGTAAACCACAGGCTTGCACAAGTAACACTCAAGCTTTGCAAACTGTTTTCTAATACTTGAAATACGAGATTTTACAGGATGAAATTAGCAAGGAAGTGAACATTTTTCAAGCGTGGCTGTTGTCACCCTAAACAACTGGGGCTAATATGGCAACAAACACTATGTTTTATGCGTATTCAGGATCAAACCAGACTGTTACACCTCATTTAAAAAAAGCTATATTGTAGCATCTTTTAAACATGCAATTCAAAGCATCAGACCAAAGCCATTTATGAAAACAAAGGGTGAGAACAAACACTACGAGCAAAGAGTATCAACTGAAGATAGTTCTGAGATTGTCATTTGGCAGGACACGTGTATACTTACTTTTAGAGAGCTGCAGGAAGAGATCCCATCTAAATCTGAGAGCCCACAGCAAGCCATCCACAGGACATAGAGGTGAGACAATGAAGTTCCAAGATCCCTGATAAAAAAAATAAAAATAAAATCAAGCTCTATTTGAATGGATGAAGAAAGTCAAGACTTCCTTTCTTTTTACTAAGACTAGACCACTGCTACATACTTCAAATCTCACACTGTTTACAAGAAATGTCATTAAAAATGTTCACCTTCAAAAGTAGGGAATAAAATTATACCCCTCTACTCCTTTCTCTCTTAGACATCTTTGTCTAAGACATGACAATATGTCACCCTAGTTCAGTTTGATTAAGATTATTCCAAGCACTATGTTATGGTAATTCTGCCATAAATCATTGGCAGTTGCTAAAGATTAAGTGAGGTTTTCTTACGCTGGCATCATTTGATCTACACACAGAACACATATGAACATATCTGAGCTGACTGCAGAGTCATCTCACTTTATCCTTTTACGGAGTCTCCTTTCTTCTGTTTTTGCAATTGAAAGGAATAGCATTCTTGCCAAATAACATTTTGAATTAGCAGAAAATTATAATCCTTTCCTTCCTATTTTCCCACTCCGTAGATGTAGCAAAATATAAATAAGGGATCATTTACATGAAATCTAGACTTTCTGGCCCTAACCCAGGAAACCACACGCTTAACTCCATGTATATGTAATATTCCACTACATTGCAATGGTGCACAATACAAAGATAATGCAAAAAAGGTGGCAAATCAAACTGGGGCCTTAATCAGCTTCCATGTTTAGTAACATTAAGCTGCATAAAGCCCCTACTCTAACATAAACAAAATATAACACTTTATCAAATCCCAAACCAACTAAAAGCCCAGAATTCTCTACTGTAGTCATGATATCAGGCTATCTGAACTAAACAGCAGGGAACAAAATATGAGGACAGTTTATCAGAGGAAGTAGAAACTAGCATGGAGTTCAGAGAACCACAGCAATGGCTGAGGTTGGAAGGGACCCCGAGAGGTCATCTTCTCCAACATCCATGCTCAAGGGGGGACTAGTTGCTTAGGTCCACATCCAAACAGTCAAATAGTTCTTAGATGGAGATTCTTGGACTTCAGAATTGTGGGTTAACTATATTTTATAATATCTATTCCTATAATATCCATTAAATTTTCTAGGAAAAATTTAAGAAGATATATGCCGTGGGGTCCCTTCTGATCTTGGAATAAAGATATACAGTTCATATACTCATGTCTTCTCTTTATAGATGACAGAGAACAAGAGCAGCTTTGCATTGCTCTCTGAGAATATCACACAGCTTTGATACAGTTCTGCAGCAGAAAACTTGTAGGTAAACTGCCTGCTTCAGGGATACTGTGCACTCAGCCAGTTCAAGAGATCAGGAAGGAGTGCTTTAACCAGTGGAGATAGATGTATACTTGTCTGTGGCTTTTGTTGTTTCTCCACTACCTGAATACTTGGGAAGGGTCATGTCAGGAGAAAGGAGACCGCATAAGGCTGAATGGAGGATGGATGCATGGAAAAATATCCCCAGATGCCTCTCTCCTGTGATGTACCAAAACTGGGGATTTTCATCCCTCTGCCTTCTAGGGACTGGTATGTCCATGGACATCATTCAGATCTATCTCACTTCATTCATCCTCTATCACTGCAGGGGCCGCAGGCATTGGGTGCCTCTAATTATCCCTTCCTTGAATACTGCCAATTTAAGTAAGCTCACAATGGATACACCATACAATGTGTTTATGCAACATTTTATAATTTTTTAAGTGCAAACAGTGCAGCTTAATTAATGGCCAGAACAAGGCAAAACCCAAAAATCTCAGTCATACAACACATCTCTTTCTGTCTAAGGCTACTCCTCCTTACAGGAAAAAATTCCCAACTGACATAAACCACAATTTCTCCACTGAATTCTGTGCATCCAGGCAGCTTGCCTATACTGACACAGGATGAAGAAAGCCCCCCATGCACAGAAACTCCTTTCATGTATAAATTATATGATTCCTTCTGCAAACTTTAACTTTTCCCTTAGCTATATGGCAACAGGGAACACTTGCCACGGTGTCACTGTTTCTGTGACCAGATAAACCCCTAAAAAGATTTCTTTCCAAGTCCTAATTCATATTTGCCTGACCCGAAGGATCGTAATGTCCCTGTATCTCATCACATCCCTGGCCTCACATAAGATCTTCCAGGGACTGTTTACATTGTGTATATTTTATAAATAAAACAAAAAGGGATTCTAAGGCTTCCTTAAGGAACAGATGCCTCCCAAAGTAATATTTACAGAAAATTTATTATTAGATTTGCAAGCTGCATGCCTATAATAAGAAAGAAATTAAATTACACAAACAGAACCTACCATCAAGCAAGGACAACACATCCATAAACACAAATATGGCATTAAGAATAATATGAAGGGATTACATTGCTCATTTCATGACCCACTTCAAGCACTGAGGAGATTTTCAAATTTCAGGCTAATTTTGGTGCAGAATTTTCTTTTCTGTAAACCACTGAACATACGTAAAAGGAGGTAGTCACTCTCATTTTTGTGTCATTGAAACAATGCTTTTGATAGATGCTTTGTTTATTAGGCCAGCAAAACTGAAGACAATCCTAACCTGATTACTTGACATATGGCATGGTAAGACATGGTTAGTGGATTTTATTTTCATATTTTCTTTGCCTTGAATTTTCTAACTGAAGGCTTTTTGCCACAGAAGGAGATTGCAGTAATATGTTTGTTCCTAATGTTTCTCCGTCAATAAAAAGAATGCCAAAGTAGAGTAAAGAATTAATTCCCACTCAGTTTTTACACAAGGCCCCCAAGAACAAACAGTTATCCCCCTCTAGTCCTAAAACCTTCATGCATTTGTAGGAGTCCCCTGCTTTGACTCAGAACTCAAAGACTTCCAGAGTTAAATCATATTTGCCTCTGTGTGTCACAGTTTTCAGTTCCAGTGCCAACTATGGCTAAACCCAGTGGTCACAAATGGGGCCAGTCCCTACTCCCACTCTCTGCTACATCACACAGAGCACAAATTAGCTATGAATTATAAGCTAACAAGTCTTTAAGTGTTTTCCTGCTGTGGACACCATCAGAAGAAGACACTAACTGAAATGACTTCGAAAACCTACTTACCTTACTCTTAACAATTTATGCTGCCAAGTGTTTAGTCTCAAACCCATTCCAGTTTCATTCATGAGTTGCAGCCTGACTCTCCTACAGCTAACTGGTGCAAGCCAGGAGTAGCACATTTAAGGCTGATACTAATCAAAGTTTAGTATCAAAGATTAGTATCTGTATTCCAGACAAAGGAATTAGGTTGTATAACCCATATTCTGGGTACTTGCGAAAGGAAGAACTACTGCATGTTTGCAATGCAACTCAGTGTTTGATAGCAGGGTCTTTGTTATTATAAAAATGCATAAACAGATACTGCAGAAAAGAAAAAAACATGGAAGCTGATGTGAAGTGGTTTCTTGTGAGGCTGAAGTTGGCCGTCTCAAAGCTCATCTTCAACTCATGAAACAAAATACTAAGAAAGCATGAATTTTGTTGCAATGTTTGGTATCATTCGGTCTAATTTTGCTCTCTATTTAAGGAAATGGAATTAGCAAGCCAAGGTGTCTTCTCTCCTGCCCCTCAAGAACAACATTCCAGCTCTTATGAAGAGCAAATGACTGCTTTCTCTCCTTCCTTGCTAACATTGTGAGAAGAGGCAAAAGGACTTCTTCCTTTGTCCAGGCCTGACTGCAGAACTAAATTCCTCTCGCTGACACTGGGGTCATGGAGCTGCTAAAGGAGCCTAAATTCTGGATCGTGCAGTCATATTTTGGCCCTGCAGATCTTTATTCCTGCATCCGTAATGAGTCATCCCCAGTCAGAGATGTTATCACATATAAGTACATCTGCAAATATTTTATTCAGTAACTAACAAACTAATCTTTTGGAAGCTGCATGACTCACACTGCAGCATCAGAGAAAATTCCCTTGTTAATTACTACAGAGATAATTGCCCTCAAGAGCAGGGCTGCTGTAAGGTGAAATGGCCACATAAAGCAAGCTGCTCCTGACAACCGCGTGCACCTGCATTTCTGAAAATTCTTCTGAAATATTTTGGCTGGTGAGAAGATAACTTAAGAGCTTCCAAGAGATGGGAGTGTCTCCTCTGGGACCAACTCTACTGCTGGCACATCCACCTTGGAGGCGGTAAGAGCAAAGTGAAGAGTTGTGTGAGCATGGGTGACCACCATGGGAGTGCAACTGTACACACAGGCATGTTTTCATTTATTTTAAGTGCAGAGGGTGAGATCAACCCAAACTGGGGAGATGCATCTCATGACCTTTTAACAAGAAATTGAATGAATGGGAATCTGCACTCTAATAATGACCTACTAGGGTAAACTATTTGAATATAATAATAAACTCTTAATAACAATTTATCAATGTAGTAAAGAGAGAAAATCCTCTATAATTATACACGTCGTGTAACAAAACAGGCCCCCCCCAAATAATCATTGGCTGAGACTGAAATTAATGAGACACATCAGAGACCAGGGATCTCCTGTATTAGGCATGATATAAATGTATAGAAAATTACGGCATCTATTCCAAAAACAGGGTAGAGAGTATGATTGAAAAGTTTGATAGCTGAAAGAAAAAATATGAAACATTGTACAAAGCTGGTGGTAATGGGTCATATGACACAGCACAGGAGTGCTCCAGTGATGTGCAAACAACAAAGAACATACAGAAGGAACTAGAGGATGCTGTAGAGGAAACATAGCTCCCATTAATATACACATTAGGTAATCCAATTCCAGTGAACAAATGTCCTGTACCAAGTGACATGGAAGCTGGGAACTTTACAAGAAGGGCAAAGAATTAATAAGCAAAGCCATTATATATCCTGCTCACCTCTGCTATGGTTTATTCAAGTCAGGTTTGAGGCAGAGAGATGGAGCATGGGGTGGGAATGTGTATGTCATATGTGTGGTTGTGATAAACAGAGAATTACAGCTCCTGAAGTTGCCAAACCAGAGCACACTCCACACAC